GGGCTGTCCTGGGAGGAGGGCAGAGAGGCACAGGGGTGCTGGCACACCTGCCTCTTCCTATTGGGGACACAGCTGCTGGTCGCTCCTGCAGAAGCAACCCCCCAGAGTGGCAGCCTTTGACAGCTACAAAGAGGAGCCTAGCGAGAGAACAGCCCTTGGCTTGACAGATGAAAAAACCAAGTCACCTCGTTACCACACTCCACATCAGTCTTTCCCTGTCTCATCCACGTGTCCCTTTAAGTGACAAGCATCGGGGAAGGGAGGAGAGTGGCATCCTTTTGAGGTGGTAGTGGAGGCTGGGGGGCCTCCCCTAACTCCTTAGCACCATGGTGTCTGTCCCCAGAGGTCGGAGGACCCTACACCCCAGCAGACCCCCCAAGGATGTGGAGGGTTCTGTGAAAGAAGCAGAGGCTGGGCAGAGGGGCCAGGGTCACCTGCTTGGAGTCCCCAACCCATTCGCTGCTTGGGGCCTCCGGGAGTCTCCCGACTCCTGGGTGTCTGTAGGTGGTGTGGAGCCTGGGGCTCGGAGGGACACACGCGCTCACATGTCACGCTCGCCTCAGCGTAGGGAGTGTGTGCAGGAGGCTGTGCGACTTGAGTAGACCCGAGGTCATACTGAGTTGTCAGGTGACATGGTACCAGGGAGAAGTGTGTAGTGGATGGGGGTAGGAGTGGGGAGGAAGGTGGGTGGAAGAGGAAAGGGCTGCCCCAGTCCCAGGAGTGGGGAAGGCAGGGTGTTGCCAGTAACCACGGTGGAGCGGGGAGAGGAGGAAGGGGGGAGGAAAGCTGGGTCCTGTGGCTTTTCCTCTCACCAAGGGACAGTGTACTTCAGTGCTGGCCCAGTGGACACCCGTGATCAGAGTGGCCCTGGTGAGGGTGAGGACCAGGCTGAGGGTGAGGCAGTGGCCCGGGCTCTTCTCCTTGGAGCCACCCCGCTCTCCGGTGGTCCTGGCAGCTTGGTTTTCCAGGCTTTAAGGCCAAGGGTCATCCATGCACGTGAACTTCTGTCTTCTGGGAGGGAGCAGTCTGCCCACCGGTGGAGGCTGGAGGGAGGGATTTTGAGAGTGGCACCCCTTCAGGCCTTGGGGGAGTGGTCCTGGGGGGCCAGGGCCGGGGGATGGGTAGAGAGGAAGAAGAGTCTGAGGTTTCACTTGTAACCAGGGTGCCCTTCTCTGCTATCAGCAAAGAAACGCTGCAGAAAGCAGATGGAGGAGGTTTCAGCTGGGGCCCCGCCTCCGAAGGGCTCCTGAGAACTGAGTCTGGGAGGATGGCGGAGCCCATGTTCGGTCCTGCCAGCCCATTCTCAGGTCTCACGGTGTGGCATCGTGACAGTGGCTACAGAACATCTGGGTTAGGGCCCGAGTTCAGCATGGGACAGCCTCTGCCTCCTTGAGACCTCATAGGAGCAAAGGCAATTTGAGGTTGGAAGATACTCTAAACCCCCTGGTTTACCTGGAACGAACTGATACCAGGGCTGGTTGGAGGGTCACCCTGCATCTCCATCATGGTCACATTGACCATAATGGCTGTTGAATTATACAGCTTCTCTGCTAAACTGTGAGTTCAGGAGGATAGAGGTTGTGTCTGCCTGTGAGCTTAGCACAGTGCCTGGCACAAACGAGGCCCTCATTCAAGGAAGGGGGAGTGGAAGGAAGGGATGGCCAACATTTATATTCAATCTCCCGGTGGCAAGGGCAAGCTCACAGCCTCCTCAAGAATGACATGAAGCCAAAACCGGTTTGGCTTGGTGGATAGAGCGTCGGCCTGCGGACTGAAGGGTCCCGGGTTCGATTCCGGTCAAGGGCATGTACCTTGGTTGCAGGCACATCCCCAATGGGAGGTGTGCAGGAGGCAGCTGGTCGATGTTTCTCTCTCATCGATGTTTCTAGCTCTCTATCCCTCTCCCTTCCTCTCTGTAAAAAAATCAATAAAAATATATTTAAAAAAAAAAAGAATGACATGAAGCATCAAACCGCACTCATTTGGAATTTGCAACAGTACAGACATCATAACCTTGATCCCAATGAGTGAAAGTTGAAAGTAACTTCTCTATATTTAGGTCTTATTCCTGATGGAGAGGCACAATAATGAGAATACTAGTACACCTTACATTTGGATGGCACTTCAGACCTTTCTAAATTCTTTTGTGTAAGTAATCTAATTTGATATTTCCAATAACCTTAGGAGGCAGGAGAGAGATAAGGTCCTTCGTTTGGTCAGCTACCTCCCAGCTGCCAGCAAAACAATGGAGGAGGCCTGGATCCTGCAGGAGGATCTAACTGTGATGAGGCCTGACGGACCCAGGAAATGCAGTCTGCTTGAGAGATCGCTCCATCTCTCTTCTAGGGAAGGATGGGCCACCTAGTAGCACAGCTGGAGAAAAAAAAATCCCTTAGAAAATACACCCAACAATGGAATAGAATTGAGTCCAGACATAGGCCTTACATTTATGTTCAGTGGGTTTTTGGCAAGGATGACAGACAACTAAACGGGGCAGTGGGAAAGGGAAGAAAGTCTTTTTACCAAAAGGTTCTGGGACAACTGGATTTCCACATGCAAAGAATGAAGTTGGACGCTTACCTCATCCCGTTTGCAAAAATTAACCCCAAATGGTCATAGAGAATGTAAGAGCTAAAAATCATAAAAATCTTATTAAAAGCACATGTATAATCTTTGTGACTTTGGATTAGGCAATGGTTTCTTAGAAATGACACCGGAAGCACAAGTTATAAAAGAAAACTTAGATAAATTGGTCTTCATCAAAATTAAAAACTTTTGTGCTTCAAAGGACGCCATCAAGAAAATGAAAAGACAACCCACAGATTGGGAGAAAACACGTATACGATAAGGGACTTGTGTCCAGAATATATGAAGAACTCTTACAATTCAACAATAAAAAGACAAATAACTCAGTTAAAAAGTGGGCAGAAGATTTAAATAGACATTCTCCAAAGACACACACAAATTATCAAACACACATAGATGCTCAACTTCACTAGTCATCAGGGAAATGCAAACCAAACCACAATGAAATACCACTTTGTACCCATCAAGATGCCTAAAGTAAAAAAGGCAGACAATAGCAAACGTTGTCAAAGAGATGGAGAAATGGGAATCTGTGTACATTCCTGATGGATTGTAAAATGCTGAAGCAATGTTGGAAAACAGATTGGGCTCGGCCGGTGTGGCTCAGTGGTTGAGTGTCGACCTATGAACCAGGAAGTCACGGTTCTATTCCTGGTCAGGGCACATGCCTGGGTTGTGGGCTCGATCCCTAGTAGGGGGCATGCAGGAGGCAGCCAATCAATGATTTTCTCTCATCATTGATGTTTTTATCTCTCCCTCTCCCTTCCTCTCTGAAATCAATCAATAAAAATATATTAAAAAAAGAAAACAGATTGGCAGTTCCTCAAAATGTTAAACATAGAGTTACCATGTGACCCAGCAATGCCATTCCTGGGTATGTAGCCAGGAGAATTAGAAACATGTCCACACAAAAACTTTTACATGAATGTTCAAAGCAGGATAATATTATTTATAATAACCAAAAATTGGAAAAAGCCCAAATGTCCATCAACTGACGAATGAATAAACAAAATATGGTACATTTATATAACAGAGTATTGTTTAGTCCTATAAAGAAATGAAATATTTCTACAACGTGGATGAATCTTAAAAAGATTACACTGCCCTAGCTGGTTTGGCTCAGTGGATAGAACATTGGACTGAAGGGTCCCGGGTTCGATTCCGGTCAAGGACACATGCCCAGGTTGTGGGCTCGATCCCCAAGAGGGGGCGTGCAGGAGGCAGCTGATCAATAATTCTCTCTCAACATTGATGTTTCTATCTCTCTCTCCCTCTTCCTTCCTCTCTGAAATAAGTAAAAATATATATTTTAAAAAAGATTACACTAAGTGAAGGATGCCAGTCATAAAGGCCACATAGGTATAAATTCATTTAAGTGAAATGTCTAGAATAGGCAAATCCATAGAGACAGAAAGTAGATGAATGGTGCCAGGGGTTGGAGGGAGGGGGAATGGGAGTGATTGCCAATGGTATGGAGTTTATTCATGGGACAATGAAGATGTTCTAGTGAAATGATTGGTGATGGTTGCACAGCTCTGCAAATATACTAGAAACCGCTGAATTGTACACTTTAAACGGGGGGATTTTGTAGTCTAGGTATAATTATATTTCAATGTAACTTACTTAAAAATATGCCCAAATGTTTACTTCTGTCATTCTATGTTCATCAAGGAATCTCCTGATTATTGGTCTGTTTTCAGAGAAGCCCATGGTTCTCTCACTGAATACCCTCTTTGTTTAGCCCAAACCTAGCCATCTCTCAAAGCCCTAACATGAACAGTGCCTTCCTGGGCCTTGGCCAGTATTTTGAACTCCTTGGTCCTCAGGCAGCTCTCACTTGCCCCTCCCACACTCACCCAGGTGACTGAGATGCAAAAGTTGGTGAGCTGTGAATATGCTGGGCTCGGGGTGGGGTAGGGGGTGTAGGGGGCATTCAACCCCTCCTGAAGACTCTCTGGGGTGGACGCCTGGTCCAGCATCCTCCTGAGGCAGGAGGCAGGCAGAGAAAAGGAGCAAAGGGTCTCGTGACTGCAGAAAGGGGAGGGGACTGAGGAGCCCCAGAGGTGGTGGGGGCGGGAGTGAGCAACTGGCTCCTCAGTCACCCACCTTCTCACAGCAAAGGCCCTTCTAAACCTAGTCCTCATCTCCTCGCTCTCCTACCACCTAACCTGCTTCTAGAATGTTCCTCTCCTAGGAGCATGCTTAGGCATCATCACCCCTTTCAACTCCTCCCTCCATCCAATCACTGCTGCCCCCTTTCCTCCCCTGCTCCCTCTGCTGGCCCCTGAACCCCACGTCTCCCCGTCTCTGCCTCCCACCCACACCCCCTGTGGCTGCCTCCCTCCACTGCCTCTGGGCCTTCAGTCACGGCACCGCCCAACCTAAACCTTCCTTAGGAGGAGGCCTGGCACCCTCTGCTCACATCCAAGTGCTGACCAGTGGACATTCCTTTGTTTCCTTGGCTTGAAATGTGAGTCTTCCAGCGACTGGTTTAACCAACTCCTAGTCCCCCTATCAGGGCGCAGTCTGAGAGACACCCCCAGGGGCCTGGCACCCCTTCGGGAATTGCTTGTAAATATCTGGGAGTCTGTGTTGGCGAGACCAGTCTCAGGCTCTGGCACAAGCACTGTGGTCCCAGGAGAAACGTGTGGAGGAACAAGTGAGAGAAAGTGAAGGAGCGAGATGTTTTTAACGAAGGCCAGGCAAGATTAGGCAATAGGAGACAGGACAGACACGAGTCCAAGATTACTCAGATGTTCCTGGCCAGGGCGGCCGGCAGAGGCGGACTGTCACTGTCCGCAGCCCTGGCAAAGCCGGGCCTTGCCCTGGGCCTGGCGAAGAGACGTGTACCTTCCCTGACCCCGCCTGCTGGGTCGGAGCCTGACACCCAAACCAGAGTGCAGTGGGGACAGGCTCCAAACAGGCTCATTGCCACGGGTATTATCCTTGGAATGTAACGTTAAAAAACACACAGTATCTTTCTCATTAAATTTGTGCTGCTGGACATGAAACCGGGGGGAGAGCTAAACACAGGCACAAAAGAAAACTTTTTCAAAAGATGGGTGTGCGATGTCAAAGCAGTGAGGTTGGGTTCTGTGGATACCCTGCCTCGAGAGGGAGATATCGGAGGCATACAAACAAGCTGGTGACTTTTCCCATGAAAAGATCTGTAGGTTTTCACCAGTTCCTGGGTGCAGTGTGGACCACAGGGCTGCCCTGGCTGCCAGCGCGGCCTCCAGCCTCCTTGGCTGCACCAGTAACTCACGTGGGCGGGATTGGGGCCCCCTCTGTGCTGTCAGACTGGCCCTGGGGTTTTCCTCGAACATGCGTGTGCAGTGTGTGAGGCATCTGGAAACATCTGTGGTCCATTCACAAGGGGATGAACAGGTGCAGAGGGATCTGGAAACCATCGCTTCCTGGGAAGCACTGCAGGTGGTGTGTGTCCGCTGGAGAAAAGGAGATGCATGGATACGGATGCTACCTCTCCTGTTGAAGGGTGGCCATGTCAAAGAGAGAAAAAGACTCACTAAGTGTTTCTCTAGAGAGCCGAGGGAAGAACAATGAGTATAAATGATGAGGCAGAAGTCGGAGTTAGCGTAAGAAATCAGAGCAGTCCAGCCCTAACCAGTTTGGCTCAGTGGATAGAGCGCTAGCCTGCGGACTGAAAGGTCCCTGGTTCAAATGTACCTTGGTTGTGGGCACATCCCCAGTAGGAGGTGTGTAGGAGGCAGCTGATCAATGTTTCTCTCTCATTGATGTTTCTAACTCTCTATTCCTTGAAAGGGCGAGATCTCAAACCTGGGGACACGCGGCCCCCACCCTTCCCTGCATTCTCAGTGAAGGGGTGGGGACTGCGCCCTCCATCTTACCCTGGGTCCTCCATTTTTGGGCAGGGCCATGTGCTCGGCAAAGGCTTCTTCCCGGAAGAAGCCTCTGCTAGCCACACCCAGGATTTCTCTGGACTAACCAATGATAATCAAGGGAAGTGCACGCCATCACTATGACCACATCCTGTGTAATGAGACACCGACTCGCGCCTGGCCAATC